AAATAGACAAAGGAATAGGGGGTGTGCACAATTCGGTAAACCGACCGAACCAAATCGATACCGAAATTTCGGGACGTACCAAATACCGAATCGAAATTTCAGTTCGGCAATCGTTATGTGTAATTTTGAAAAATTGGTATTCGGTTCAATATATACAAAAATGTTTCGGTTTTCGGTATTCCCGAATACAGAAATAAATAAAATAATAAATACTCCGTATTAAATGCTCCGTATATAATATATTTATATATTTTGTCCTGGAATATATTAATATTGATATATTTATATATATATTTTCGGTATGAATTATATTTATATATAATATATTTAATTATTTATATTAAATATAATATACATTTAAATACAATAATTGTGAATATTTATATTTAAACATTTATATTTAAACATTGAATGCCCAAACCGAACTTATTTTGGTTTTTACCGAACCAAATCTATTTAGTTCAGTTCAGTATTCGGCACGAGAATGTTCAAAAATCAAAACAGAAATTTCTATTGGGTTCTAGGAAGCACGGAAACTCTCCATGGCTCACGTTTCCACGTTTCAGAAACTCAGAAGCGTTTCGGAAATTCGGAAACTTCAAATTTCCGTTTCGGGACCGTTTTCGGAATTAAGAAAAATTTGGAAACCCGTTTCACTACGTTTCGGAAACCTCGGATTCCATTTTTTTTTCTTTTTCAAAAGATTCTGTGGTGGAAATAATTTTTTATAGTGAATTTTTGTGGTATTTCTCAGCGACAACACTTGTTACATTTCGTAACGCAATGTATTGCTAGAAATGTATTACTCCGTACATTCTATGTTAAATTATGTACTAATACGAAATAATATCTAAATTCGAACATGTAGAGTGATTTTATTATTTGGTTACTAAACAAATTATATTAAAAAACATGTGCATATGGAAAAACTTGTGTACATATATTAAAAAATATTTATAAATATATCCTTATAATTATAATATTTACGCGTTTCCGCCACGTTTCGTATCCTATATTTTTTTAGAAATTACGTTTCTCGCGTTTCCCGTTTCCGTGCTACTTTGATTGAGTTTGATTCGATAATACTTAATCAACACCCTCCAAAGGAATATAAATGAGAATCCTTCACATATATCAGGGCAATATTGACCGTCCAATAAAATATTCATCAGAATCAGAGTCTAAATGGATTTTATATGCGGCGAAAGTCACTTTTCTAGATAAAAAAGGATCGCATCCCTTTATTCTTGTCAAAATTTTGCAGAATCTTCACCCTCTTCTTCCTTCAATTCCTCCATCCGCTTTCTCTTTCTATTTTATCAGTATAAATCTCTTCTTAGCTGGTTTCCAATCCGTTCTCCTGGATGTTATTTTGGCTCATACATTCACGCGCAGAAGAGATCTATCGGTAGAATCAAAATTACTGGAAGCACAAAATGGATTCTTTTTCCCCTGAGCTGCAATTGGATTGCAGGACCCCTTCCGTTCTTCCGACGATCACTGAGTTTCTCAGTCAAATCTCAATGATCGGTAACCTTTCAGAGAGACTAATGAAAATTAACGATCGTGTCTGGAGGCTTGAAGAGGAGATGCGGAAGATCGATGCCTTCAAGCGCGAGTTACCCCTTTGCATGTTTCTTCTGAATGACGGTATGTTTACCGTTCATGTGAACTCATTTTTACAAATTTAACTGTAGGACCATGATACCTTACCGACTTTGGTTATTTATTTTATTGGGATTATATCTGGAGATGGATTTTGGAGTTCAAATAAATTGATGATGGATTCTGTTTCTTTTTGGGCTGTGATTGCAGTGATTGTATTTTTCAAAGAGGAATCGATGAAGTGTAGAAAGTCACTGATTGGACCTGTTTATGAAGAATTTCTTCCAGTGAAGAAGAGTTCTGAGAATGATGATGATGATGATGATGATGGTGTAGATGGTGATAACAGAGTTGAGGCTATTAAAGAAAATGACAGTAAAGAGAAGATAAAATGGACAAGCTCGTTTAAGCTCTGGAATGGTGATAAGGATTATCTCTTTTCAGAGTTCAGCAATAACAGCTACGCCTTAAAGTCAGATCTCAGAATATTGGTAAAAACTTATAGGCAATCTATTAAATTTAAACATTCAGTTTTCGTTTTACGCATATGTTTATGTATTCTGATGGACTGTTATGCGTTCATTTTCAAGGGGCATTCTGGGATTCCAACTGATGCAGTGAGAAAGGACAGGCATGAAGAATTAACAGGAGTAGTGCCTCCTGGGCTTTCTCTTAGTACACCTGGAATCAAGGATAGACTGGAAGACATTGTAATTGATGGATTGAATTCAAAAGCAAGCAAAGTGGTGGATCCTTCTAGTGCTGCTACAAGTAATTCTCTGCAGCAGGCATTTAGGAAGCAAAGAAGGTGCTGGTCGGCAGAGTTGCATAAAAGATTTGTTAGTGTCTTGCATCAGCTTGGCGGTCCACAAGGTCAGGAGTTCTCAAATTCTCATCCTTTTTCAATGGCAGAGACACTTGATTGATGAACTTGAGCATAGACTAAGATGCCCATGTTTGATACCATACTCGCCTTGACTAAATACAGAGTACTACCATTTAACTTACTCTATTGGCAGAAATGGATGTTGTCAAACACTGTTCCTCTAAGTTGTTTTCTTGTGTATAGTTTTAGTACTGGAAAAATGCAAAGGAAACTGAAATATAATTAATATTTTTTTTACAAATGTGTAGGTTTCTTAGTCTTATGTAATAAAGATAGATAAATACAGAGTAAATAAATAAAATGAGTTTGAACATATTTTAAAAACTGATTTATTGAGTTTGAAGAAATGTTTTGTTTTCCCAACCATTTTCTGTCCTTCAAAATTTGTCCTACATTTTCTTCACTGATTTCTTTCCCTAGTATCTTTAGGGTTCAAAACGGGCCTGAATTGATTTCTTAAGGAGAACAGTTATTTTTATCTATTCATTGCCTGGTAAACCTCAAACGCACCCTTTTGGTTCCTTGCAGTTGCTACTCCTAAGCAGATTAGAGAGCTTATGCAAGTGGAAGGTCTAACCAATGATGAAGTGAAGAGTCATTTGCAAGTAAGTACCCAACTTTTTGCTATATTTACTCCTCCATTGCTTATGTGTGATATGATTGATGATTAAAAGATTTTTTTTCTTTGCTATCAGAAATATCGGCTCCATATACGAAGAATTCCAAGGAGACAATTCTCATCCGAGAATAAGTCCATTGTAATGCTGGGTGACTTGGATCATGATAATAATAAAATGTTTATGCGCATTGACCAGATTGGTGAATTCTCCAAGCAGAGCTGTTCTCAGTCTGGTTCTCCTCAGGGTACCCTTCTGTTAGGGGAAAGCTCTCGAGGGACATCCATGAGTGGAGGCGATAGCATGGAAGATGACAAATCTGAGTGAGATATTTAAATAAAATTTCATCCCTAAATGATGAATGTATAGATGTCCGGCATGAATTTTGAAGAGATAATAATGTATCTATGGCGGATTGTTCACAATATACATATTTAAAACTTGAAGTTATTACTAAAAATACAAGGAAATGAGAGGGTGCTGAAAAATTTTGGAGGGTTAGTTTTTTTGTTTTGTTTTTTGTTGGTTCATGTGTATGTTCAGTCAGCCCTGATATTGGTGTTCTTTGCTGTTGTTTTTTTAGTTTGATTTAAGGACTTGAAATAAATAGTGTTGTAGATGCTAGATACCTAGAGAGTAGAGATTGTCTTTCATATGAAGAAAAAGGGCATTTCATTAACAAACAGATGATGCTTTTTGGATGGTGGAAAACTCACTTGAAATACATTTGAATGGAGAGAACTGCACGTATGTAATCATGAGTAGCAATGCCTAACATTTGCTTCTTTCTTCTTCCACTAATACCCAATCAAGTTCTAGAATTAAGGGAAGACATTGCATGAAACATCTGATCACATAATTGAATTGTAGAACCTTTTACTGAAAACACAAGAGTTCATTTTCTTAAGGGATATTACCCGAAATAGGACTAAAAAAGTTTGAAAATTCCAAAATAGGACTTCCATGTTTTTATTCCCAAAATAGGACTAATTACTGTCATGTTTTGGCAGTACCAGACTTCAAACATGGCAGTATTTTCCAAATTTGGCAGTAATTAGTCCTATTTTGGGAATAAAAACATGACAGTCCTATTTTGGAATTTTCAAACTTTTTTAGTCCTATTTCGGGAACTTTCCCTTTTCTTAAAATAGACTACATTGTTTAGAGCATCCCCAATGCTCCTTAGTCTAGTCCAAATATAGTAGGACCTCTGTTCTAAAATCGTTCTAGGCGGCCGACAAGTCCCCGCCTAGGCGCTAGGCGGTGGTCGGGCGCCCCGATTTTCGTCCAGGCGCTCCGACTAATTGGTTTACCGTCTAGGTGAATTAGCCGACCGCCTATGGCGCCTAATTGCCCGTCTAGAGCGTCTAATCGGTCGCCTAGACCGTCTAAATTCGCTGAACATTACTTTACTTTTAAATTTTAATTTTCTAAGCAATATACGTACTTTAACTTTAGCCATGAATATAAAGAAATGAAGTTTTAAATTAAGATAAAACTATATATGTTTGTATATATACCTAAATTTTATCATTAATTATATTTATATCATAATGAAGTTTAGTAATTAGTTATCATATACTGCGTATGATTAAATGTGAGAATTCTATCTTTCATGTTTGTTAATGTATATGTATATGTATTTTATACACACAAAAATACAATATTACTTACCATATTTATGCAAAAATATAGATAAAAATACAAATTCTATGTCTTCGACTAGTCCCCAACTAGGCGCCCGCCTAGGCGCTAGGCGCTAGGCGCTAGGCGCTAGGCGCTGGGCTGGCGCCCGACTAGCGCCTAGTGCCTTTTAGAACATTGAGTGGGACACATCATTACCTTAGACATTCGTTTTTTTTCTCCTTCCAATGCTTTTAGTCTAGCAACATATTTTGCTGATTTGGCAAAAAAAAAAAAAAACTGTTGCGTGTGGCAGAGATGTCATGCTGCGTTGGATGTGTGAGCATACTAGAAAGGACCGCGTGAGGAATGAGACAATCAGACAAAGGGTGGGAGTAGCACCTATTGAAGATAAGATGCGGAAGTTGCGCCTACGGTGGTTTGGTCATGTGTATAGAAGACCGGGTGATGCATCTGTCAGACGAGTTGAGATGTGTGGAGAAGAGGCAGGAAAGAGAGGGAGAGGAAGGCCCAAACAGACGTGGGTTAGAGGAGTCAGAAATGGTATGCTTCTTCTTGGATTGGATGAGAGTATGACGTTGGAGAGAGCAAAATGGAGGGCGGGTATTCGTGTGGAGGAGTGATCTTGTATCATCTTTTCCCTCTTTTTTTCTTATTTCTTATCCTTTTATCCTTATACATAAATATTATTTTTATCCTTTTTTTATTTTTATTTTTTATATGTATATTCATCTCTTTTATATTATCTTTTTATAATAGCTTATCTTTTTTATCTTTATTTTTTTTCTTTTCCTTTTGTTGATATCATGTATCGATTCATGTTAGCCGAGCTCAATATCTTTTGAGAGTAAGGCTTGGATGTTGTTGCTGTTGGCAAAACAACTGCACACCAGTGAAGAAGGATTTCCAATCTTAAACATCCTCCTAAACTTGATGACTCGGCAAAAAAGGAACCGCTCTTCGGTTGTCTAACTATACTCTATCACGATTCACATATATCTTTGGTTGCTGAAATTCATAATTTGGTTTAATTTAAAACTTCCAAAACTTCTTTCACAATTTTAAAAATTGTAATGTTTCTATATACTCCCTCCCTCCGTAACAAAAAAAATCTTTCCACTTTCCCTTTTCGTCTGTAACAAAAAAAATTCACATTTCTAATTCTTCCAATCATACCCTCAATAATTCTGAATATAATACACTATTACAACTACTTTTTTGGATTTATCCTACATTCCATCACATTATTCTATTATCTTCCCATTATACCCTCAATAATTGATATCATCTTTCACTATTCTTAATCTACCTACTTTTGAAATGAGAAGATTTTTAAGTTACGGAGGGAGTACGTAAGTATTTGTTGGAGAATCTGATTAACCCACTTCAGAGTGCCGATTATCCTTCTCAACGCATAAAGACGTCAATGGATTATAGGAATTGTCCATGCAGTGAAATGAAAATTAAATAGAAAAAAGTTATGTTGCTTGCACCAATGGTATAAAGTTTGGTTGAAAAGTGAAAACGATCGGATGGTTTATGTATAAACAAAATTCCGTAATAAGGAAATCCACATCTACACTTGAGACTTTATGCATTGGAAACGTTTTTCAAAATTCAATGTGCAGTCGATTCACTTTGTATTACGTAGATTAGAAAGTCATTTAAATTTTTGACATTTGGCATACTTTATTTAGACTAAAGACTATTGCATTGTAGATGCTCTTAAAGAGCAAACTCATCTTGTGGTGACAGCTCTTTAAAAATACACAATTACTGAGTTCATGTGCACTCAAAAACCATGTTAGAATTCTCAAGAGAAACCTATAGAGTATTAGTGAAAAGAAAGAAAGATCAATCATCAACACAAACTCGATCATCAAGGAATAGTATGGCAAATACTTCCTTCAGAACAATAGGGTTCAGAAACAAGAGTAGGGCAACAAGCTTAAAACATTAGAGTATCTTACTCAAGCTAAGTGCAATAAGATCAAATTCAGAGGGCTTAATGCAGTAAGGTCTTTACTAGAATGCCCTGAGGAAGATTTGCGAGTTACCACGATACATTAAGTTAAACTATTTTCGAGACCACTCTATTAAAGGCCTAATGCTTTTGGAAATTGCCATTTGTACATTTTTTTGGTACACATTTTGATGAAAAGAACCGTGGCAGTTTTTCGCACATTTCTAGTGTGGGAAGATGGGAGTTGCGAAATAGTAAAGTGCACAAGAATTTAACGAGGAAAAACCCCTTGACTCAAAAGGGATTAAAAAACCTCGACCTCCCTCGGAGGAATTTTAAACAACTTCACTAAACAAGCCTTTGAAAGATTACAAGAGTGATTCTCCTAATCTACCCTTGAGCCTCCCCAACTCTATCCTCTCTAGGAAGAGTTTCGCTTCTCTACCTTGCGGGTAGAGAGCCTCTTGGCTTTACAGCAAAGCCCTCACAACACACTTGATCCCAACCCGAGGAAGCTACTCTTAGCTTGTCCTCAATAACCCAATTACAATATAAGAAGGGAATAAGAACTCTGTCTAGAACTTCGAGAGCAGTTTCAGATGCCTTGGACTTGGTATTTCTCTTGAGTATTTCTCTTTATATTTTCTCAGTCCAGCACCCCTTCTTCTTGTTATACTGTTCGAATATATAGGCTCTCTCTTTGACAACCGTTGGCTCCTCTTTCCTTCATTGGATGATTGCACTTACTTTGAAACATTCAATTTGTTTTCCTTGTATAGATGATCCTTGCCTTGATATTATTTGAAAATCCTTCCATCATAATAAGCAAGCAACGGCTCAAAGTAATAAGGTAAGGAAATAATATCCTTACTTATTAAAGGAAGAAAGCAACGGTTCATGCCAACACACATCCTTAATCAAATAAATTAATCATGGATAATCATTTATGGAAAGGAGATATTTATTCAATCATAGAAGTAGCAAAGCATACAATACGTAAGTGCTATGGTCAACATCCAATTATCAATCGTGCAATCATTAATATAGCAAGTAAGGATACTTTCCATAAAGTAAAAAGTTGTACATTCCATAAAGTAATATTATATCACTCAAATAAGCAAGTTACGTATATATCAACAAGCACTCATATTACTTTATATAAAGTAATAAGCTATACTTTACATAAAGTAATATACCACTCAAATAAGCACTCATAAGGAAAGCACATTAATTTTCAATTAAGTAGGTGCAATCAATATTAATTCAAACTATATCACGGAACTAGAACTGGGGGCGGTTCTGTTCGCCGTTCCACCTGCATGGTTGGTTCATCAACAAGAAACTCACAAGTGTTTATAGACCAGGTCTATCCTTTGTTCCTGCATGGCTGCATGGTTAGTCATCAACAAAACAACATATTCAACACATTTGTTGACTGTTGTACACTTGTACTTGTACACCCCCAGTTGCCTGTGTACACAGGCAACTCGTTCCGAAGCTCCTATCTACACAAACAACTAAGCAGTGTCTACAACATAAGTGTACCAAAAAGTGTACAAGTAGCATGACTCAATGCTTTTAGCCTTGTGTATGAACTATATTAGTGTTTTCTTCCTTTCAAACGGAGCCAAAGACTCACCATTTTTTGGTTTGGAAATATGATGGCTCATATAACAAAATGACTCACTAAACTGTATTCACTTTTTTGTTACGCAGTAGCAGTCAATCCATGCAATTTTCGACGCGACTTTCATCATGTGTCATTTGAAAACAGTCTCTCTTTACTTTAGTACAAGGGTAAAAATGTGTACTGTTCTGGATTTAATATGATTTTTATTTAAGGTGGATTCGAAATTACTGATTATTTTATGCTTATTTCAATTTTAACCTATCGAATAAGTTAGTCATTTTTTTATGTTTACCTTTTTACCAATTAAATGATACGGAGTACCATTCACTTGTTTTTAGATTTTGAAGTTATGCATTAAGCTTCATCCATTCATATTGTATTACTCCGTATTACTTTGTGTGACTATACCATTTTATTTAGCTCATATTCTTCTGAACCACATATTGATGGATGCATAACAGAATAATTATTATTAATTTTATATTAATTTTTTGATGCACTTACTATATTTTATTCATGCATTTTTCTTTGTTAGAAGACACCGTCACAATGAAACACTTCTAATGCTCTAAGAAGAAGAAATGCATTTTATTTTGTTAAGTGTCAATGAATTTTTCTGAAAGTGTGGTATAATAGTTTACGTTTGTATATACTTCGTACTTAAAATACACGTGATAAAAGTGCATTTCATTTTGTAAAAGAGTGTCAAAGTAGAATTTGATAAAGTGTGATACAATAATGCACTTTTTATATATTTAAAATGCACATGATAATGGATAATTTACACTTTTGTATATTTATATTAATTTAATAATTTTTATTTAAAACATGCATGCTCACAATTGCATGAGGAAATTAAAGTATAAGTGAATGTTAAACAAAGTGCAAATTAAATATGACATTGTAAATAAAGTGCATAATTATTTAAATAATTTTGCAACTACTAAATAACCAATGGGCATTTTCAAAACCTCCTTTAAGCTGATTAAGGTAGCTTTTTAAGTGAGTATTAGATACGGTAAATATAACATTGTAGCACTACATTAACCCCATAACAAGGAGCTTTTCATGAAAAGTAATTAACTAGTTCAAAATATTAGATTTTGTATGTTCCAATTTATACCGAAACACACATCAATACATCATTGCTGCATCCAAATTGACCAACAAACTCTATGAGAGGGCCGGAAAGTGTGAACTCCTCTCTCCATTTTGAGAAATTAAATGAGTATATATTACTAAATACCAAGTTTGTTCGCAAAATGTGCGTGAAAACTGAATCCACACAAGAATATGGACTTATATATGGAGTTGTGAAATGCGACTCCTATTCAAATTTAATATTTGGTCATTTGCGCCAACTTAATTCCAAACGACTCAATTTAGTCAAAAAGTAGATCATTTCAACAACAAACTTGGATGTATATATATTATTATAGGATGGAAGATTCAGCACATTTCTGGAAGAAGCTAGAAATTGAGATAAAGTCGTCTTGATCGTATAGATTATCCAGCAAATTGCCATCATTATTATTATAAAATAATTACCTTTGATCAAGACTACAAAGATGAATTTCATAAATGGCCCAAACGTATAGTACAAGAATCTTTGATTCTTTTCAATTTCTTTTTAAATATTCTTTTCAAATTTTAAGCAATGAAATATTCTTTTGATCAATTGAAAGAGATGCGGCCCCTCAAAATCTTAAAGTCTTAAAGGGCACTATTTCGGAATGCGGATGATTAAATCCGTCTTTTCCGTAAACTCTCAAATAACACGCTTTTATGGTTCGAATTCCTAAATATGCGTTTTGAAATAGAGTCTTTTCCATCCCATAAAATAGTTCTTGCGTCCAATTGGATCCAGGGATGGCAACGGGACAGATCGGGGATGACAAATTATACCGTGCAACCGGCATACCATGCGCATGGTATACCGGGTTTGATACGGCACCGTTCACAGAGCAAGTCAGCTCTATATTCTTCTCCCCAAGTTTGCCATCATCGTTTTTTCTCCATCATCGTTTTTTCTCCATGGTGATGCCAAAACAGAGAACTTCTCCACGAACTTCCTGTAGTAGCCTGCCAATCCAAGGAAACTACGAATTTCCTTGACGTTCTTTGGCCTCTCCCATTCGGTAATGGCTTCTATCTTCTTGTTATCAACAGCAATTCCCGATCCAGAAACCACGTGCCCGAGGAAGCCAATCTCCTTTAGCCAAAATTCACATTTAGAAAATTTGGCATAAAGTTGCTTCTCCCGTAGTGTCTCAAGAACGAGTATCAAGTGTTCTTCATGCTCTTCCTCACTCTTTGAGTAAATCAAAATGTCATCTATGAACACAATCACGAATCGATCCAAGTATTTATGGAATACTCGGTTCATCAAGTCCATGAATGCCGCTGGGGCGTTTGTTAACCCAAACGACATAACAAGGAACTCAAAATGCCCATACCTTGTGCGGAAAGCACTTTTTGGTATGTCGTCTTCCTTAATCTTCAATTGATGGTAACCCGACCTCAAATCAATCTTTGAAAACACGGTTGCCCCTCGTAATTGATCAAACAAGTCATCAATTCTAGGCAAAGGATACCTATTCTTGATTGTGACCTTGTTCAGTTGACGATAGTCAATACACATTCGAAGTGTCCCATCTTTCTTCTTCACAAAAAGAACTGGTGCTCCCCACGGGGAGTGGCTTGGTCTAATGAAACCATTATCCAAAAGCTCTTGCAATTGGGTTTTCAACTCGTTAAGTTCAGCGGGTGCCATACGGTATGGCGGTATGGAGATTGGTTTGGTGCCGGGCTCGACCTCGATCACAAATTCAATCTCCCTATCAGGTGGAAGCCCCGGTAGGTCTTTAGGGAAGACATCCGGGTACTTACAAACCACCCTCACGTCGTCAATGTTCGTTTCCTCCTTGGTTTTGTCAATCACGTATGCTAGATATGCGTGACATCCCTTTCTCATCATACTTCTCGCTCTCACGGCGGAAATAATACAACTGTTTGATTTGCCTCGATCCCCCTCGAAGCGTAGGGTGTCCCCATTATTGCCTTCGAGTTCCAAAACCTTTGTGTAGCAATCTACCCTAGCATGATGCTTTTCTAGCCAATCCATCCCTAGGATTGCATCGAACTCCATCATACTCAGCGGTACGAAATCACACGTCAAGGTTTGGCCATCAATTTCCACCTCACAAGATGGATAATAACTAGTTCTTTCAACGTCATCCCCTAGTGGTGTTGATACCACTAATGTGTGCGTCATTGGTGTTGATTGTACCCCTAAGTCCTCGGCGAACGCCTCACTCACGAACGAACGTTGCGCTCCGGTATCGATAAGGATTCGTGCATCCTTCCCATTAATCTTTAATGTTCCTACATTTATACACCATGTAAGATACCTTTTCTAATGGTTTAGGACACCTTTTAGGAGGTTAATAGGTTCATACAAATGTTCGGAATCAAACGGGGGTTCAATTGTAGAAGAACGGGATGAAAAACTCGTGTTTCGGGCGGCTGGGGTCCACGCACGGTCGTGCGTGGGACACGCACGGTCGTGCGTGCGTGAAGAAACATCGAACCCGACCACTGCCGGTTACGCACGATCGTGCGTACCCGGCCACGCACGATCGTGCGTCCACGCACGGCGTGCGTACCGGCACGCACGGTCGTGCGTCCTGCGCGAAATTCACCCGGAACCACTGCCCCCTACGCACGATCGTGCGTGGGGTTGGACGCACGATCGTGCGTCCCTGTTTTTGGTCAGTTTCGGCCCGAATTTTGCCGTTTGACCCCGTAATGACTCGCACTCAATCCCTATGACTTATGTCATCAATTTATGGGTTAAATATGGACAAAATACAATTGTGCAAGAGGCAATACCTGCAACCGAGTCCGGGTTAGCTCGAGCATCTGCCTCCGTCATCGCATAAACTCTAGCTTGAGTTCTTCCTTGATTCACAGATGGCGCGTTGCTCGTACTCGCTCCCCCATGTCCCCGGCTCGCTTGAGAAGCTCCGGTTTGATTCCGTGTACCCGTCGGGCCACTGCTCGGTCCCGATGTCCTTGCCCCACCCAATTGTGGGCAATGCGCCTTCAAATGCCCGGCATCCCCACATTGAAAACATCTAAGGGGGTCGCGACATTTACCGGAGTGGTTCCTCTTGCAATTGTTGCAACGAGTTACCACCGAGGTTTGTGACCTCGAGCCTTGCCCACTCGGGCCTTGGTTCCCCCTAGACGGTGGCGGCGGTGCCCGGAAAGATCCTCCTCCATGGTTCCCCTTTTTGTTGGAACCTTGGGAGCCATGACTCTCCCATTTTCTCTTTTTCGCCTCCTCGGCGTCTCTCTTCTTCCTCTCCTCCCACTGTTTCTCCCCCTTCAACGCTTGGTCAACCACTTGGGCGAAGGTCATATTAGGCAATTGTGTTGCCCTATCACGTATCTCCAAGTCAAGAGCATCCCAAAAGTGGTTTACCATTCGGTTCTCGTCACAAGCATACTCCGGTATGTAGTCGGCGAGATCCCGGAACTTGTACTCAAGTTCCTTCACTGTCATGTTACCCCCTTGGGTTAGGAGGGTGTATTCCCTCACCTTCTTGTTCACTTCAAAATCAGAATAATATTGGGCAAAGAACTCCCGTTGGAAGTCCTCCCAAACGACGGTCTCACCGTACTTGCTCTTGGTTCCATCCCACCACTTGGATGCCATCCCCTCGAGCAATCTTACCGCAATTCTCAGTTTGAGATTCGGCGCGATTTGCATGTCAAGGGCTGCTTCATTTAGCCTCTTGATCCATTGTGCTGCGACTGAAATGTCCCCTGCTCCATCAAAGGGTTTGCACCCCAAATCTCTTGCTTCTTTGATAAATTTGGAGATCCTTATGGTTGGACCTCCATCACTTTGGCCTCCATGTGGTTCCACATGGACTCTAGATGCACCATGACTCCCTCCTCTTGAAGCCATGCCCGAAGGTTGCCCCACTCGGCGTCTTCGGCGTTGCCTCCTCTCTTCACGCTCCCGGTGGTATTGTTGGAGTAGTGCTTCGATCCGTGCTAAGGAGCCATTTCCCTCCTCATCACTTACATCGTCATCATCCCCTTCATAAGGGGTCTCAACCGGCTCTGTCTCCGGTTGGTAAGTCGAGTCCTCATAGGACCAGTAGGTCTCACTTTCTGTGTCAACATGACCGTCACTCACGGTCTGTGATCGGCCTCCACGGCCAGCTCCTCTAGATGCCCTAGAGGTCCTTCGACTGCCCTGTCCAGTCTCCACTGGTACACGGCCCGTCGGGTTCCTCCTAGTAATCCTGCCACCACGGTCCATTTCTGAAAGAAATTTGGAAAGAGTCGTTAGACTCGTATCAAATGTCAATTGACGGATAGGTACTTAAGACACATTTTGGCTCGAGTCACCGCCATACCAATTGCTAAGGGTACCATCTTAACAATTAGAGACCTTGCGACCCAAGTACCAAAAGCTCTCCAAGTACAAAACTTCTATGCTCATGGTTTTCAAAATCCTTTCAAAAAGAGAATTTTGAGACTTCATTATGAAGTTTATGGACTAAGGCTCTGATACCAACTTAATTGTCACGCCCCGGACCTCCCCGGACACGTCAACAACCCGCCGTACAATACGAATAGTCAACCGCAGTCCAACACATTCATATTATACAAGGCGTCATGAATATCATTCACACAAAAGTCATCCATAAACATACATAATAAGTAATTCAATACGCAGCGGAAAACATTGTTTAAGACAAAGGGCCACACAGGGCGAACATGAGCACGCAGGCTCTAAAGTAAAATATCCATGAGCATGTTTATTAATGTTCTAAAACTGAATGGAGGAAGCACGAACCAAGTCTTCTCTCCGGGGAAATCACTCGGGCAACGAGCACAGGAAGCAAGCTCTAGCCTCAACCTGAAATGGTGGTGGGACGCCCCCGAAGGGGTCAGTACTCTATACGACTATAAAGTACTGGTGTGGCAGGCATCTAATAGATATACAACAAGTATTTCAAGCACAAGACCCTCAAATAGGGTGATAGTATATTATGATTGTAACCCTAAGTTACCCATTTGAAAATATACTTACTTTAGGTAAAAGTCAAGTAGTCGGCCCGTGGGCCCATGTTCATTTAGAAATCACCATTCCCATTTCCCGTGGCTACAAACCACGATACTCAATAGAGTCCAACCCTAACACACGACATTGTATTCTAGAGCTCGGCTCTACTACATCACCATACAATTCATGTCACTCGGGTCAATTCCTTACCTTGCGTTCTAGAGCTCGGCTCTATTACATCACCACGCAAGCCCTAGAGCTCGGCTCTAGCTATACAATACGTAGACTACAAGTCTACACCTTACATGCATTCTAGAGCTCGGCTCTACTACATCACCATGCATTAAGGTCCAATTCTCAAGCAACCCTATGCCTAGAATTGACATATCATTAAACTGCCATGGGTCATCCTTAAAGACTTCCCATAACTTAACCTTAGTTCCATACTAAGTTATTATATACACTTGAACTATATTCAAGTACCTTTCATACAATCCAATCCCTAGGATCAATTTAATCAACAAGTTCCAATAATCACTAACTAGTATTTCAATACTATTAAGATTATTGTTATCATACCACTATCCTCTTTATTTGTAATTCTCTACATAATTATAATTATGTAGCAGCAACTTAAGTATTCAATCTCAATACACAATTATTCATTTATGTATCCAAATACTTCATACATGAGCAAAATACCTATTTCGCAAAAATAGTTCATTTATACTCATCAAATCTCATATTATTCATACATTCTCAAATCATTTCAAATTTCATTCTTTGGCAACTATATCAATATTTCATCAATATATGATCATCATAATCCATGAAAAATAATGATTTAAGCATTTAGGTAATCTCATGCTTAACCTACAAGTTGTAAGCAATTAGATGTCAATCCTCACCTCAATTGAGCTTTAAACTTTCCCTTCTTGGTCCAATTGTCAAAGCTTTGGTCAAGGTGGGTTTGGAACTGATTCCTTGCTCAAATATGAGTGTTAAACAGCCTCCTCAAAGTGCTAGTTCAACCCTTAATCGTTGATACGAAAACAGCCCCTAGAATGGGTGTTTTCCGGTTAACTCGTTTCCTAGTTTCCCAAGATTTGCTCTAGGTTAGTATCTAACCTTTACATCAATAAAATAACTTTATAAGGACCTTTCATACACTTGTATTAGTGTACAATAGTTCCACCAATCGTTCATATCATTTGGGAAAATGAAAGGAAAGGTTTTGGGGTTAACAACTTACTTTAGAAAAGTAGATCCGTTTCTGCGAGGTTGTGTTTTGCTCGGACGATTTGGAAGCCTTCCACTACTCCGATTGATGCAAACCAGACCTTCACAGATTCCTCGTCTTGAGAGCTTTCTTTGGGTATCTCACACGCCTTAATTGGATTGGTATAACTCGAGATATCAACCAAACAGTCTCAGCACTCTCACAGCTCGAGTTTACAGACCACCACTCACTTCAGCTCGATTCTGGTAAGATAAGCTCTCTCTCCTCGAACAAAGACCACTCAATTGAGATACTAGACTTCAAAGGCTATCCAAGGACACCTTATACACCTCATTTGGTCGAGTATAACTCCCATAATGAGTGGAGACAACCAGCACACCATTTTGTGCGAAAATAGGGATGGTGGTCCAACATTTGATTCCTATCAAGTCTTGTGCAGCTCCTCTCCATGGTGGTCGGCCAAGGTAAGTTTCCTAACCCATTTTTATTTGTCTTGCAGGTACTAATATCATGTGGAGTGGTTCCCAATTGATCCCAATCATTTTGGGATCCAAATTATCTACCAATACTTCCAAAAATGGGGAAAATGGGTCCTATTGTTTTATCTTTGTCAAAAGATGTCTTTTTGTACTCATCCTAATTTATTTAGAACAAGTCAACTTCCTAAATCACATTATTGATCTCCAATATGTGTAGGCTCATCCCAATAATTTACTTGATGCATATTATAGAAGGAAAATCCTACTTCCATTATTTAGCTCAAAAATGCCAAAGATAGGGTTGTAGGCATTGGTATTCTTTTTAATCATTCGATCACTTATTTAGAAAATGTTGAGCTCTTTTATTTATTAATAAGTCCCGAAAAGTGTTTGCAAACCCGACACTATCATACGAGTTTGAACAGTACGATATTCAATCGTGCACTACGTAGAACATTAATCGCTTTACAATCGTTTGGCAAATCGGAAATTCAATACATAAATGTTAAGTTTTTAAATCGAATTTTCAAGGACGTTCGGGTGCGGTGTCACAGATTGAGTAAGAAAAATATAAATCGATGTGAATCGCACAAAATCTTTCAAAAAGGAAAATGAGAAGAAATAATTACATAAATATGACCAAAATAAAGATAGTTTACAAAAATATGATTCATTGTTAGAGTAGTAATGAAATTATAGTAATTCATGTTCAAGTTTTGAACTTTAGTTATCACAGCACTACGTTGTAGTAATGAATAGTCATATTTATGTAAATAAGTTTTATTTTAGTAATATTCTCATAAAAAACCCAAATGAGAACTATTTTTTGGTATGACAAAAAAAGTGGGAACTATTTTATGAGGTTGAGGGAGTAACATAATATATAATAATACTAATAATACAAAATAAAATAAAAATAGTAATTGAACTTGTTTTAAAACATACGGAGTACCGATTATTTGAATATACGATATTCAATTATTTTACATTTTCACCCACCAAGAGATCGGCAAAGTATCAAATAAGTTTTATTTGTGGGTCATTGATCGATTTTTAGTTCGTAGTTTTTGATGGGTCATTGATCGATTTTGTGGTCAAAAAGTGACTTCTTACTTCTGGGACACTCAATTAATGTTAGTTGGCATCAGCTAAAAAGATCTCTATAGTATTGAGAGAATCGTAATTAAGCTGATGTGATTCAAAGCTATTTCCCTCCATTAAGTAACATTCAAGAAAAAATGTTAGAGACTAAAAGGTTGGTTTGCAATTTCTTAAAAAAAGCATATCTCGGCTTTTAGCTTAAAAAACACTTATTTACCAAACATCACCAATTTTTACTTTTCTCGGCTTTCGTGTGAAAAGTGTTTTTCCTTTTTCTATTACACAAAAAGCACTTCATTTACCAAACACTACCAACTTTTACTTTTCAAAATCACTTTTTTCTCAAACACTATCAACTTTTACTAGTAATCACTTTTTCCAAATCACTCCAAAAGTGCTTTTTTAAGTAGAAGCAGTTGCAAACACTCCTCTGAAGACTATAGATTATATGTAAGCCTAACTTGCGTTCTTTCATAACGTAAGAACGATCCATATATTCATGGGTTCTATAATCCATAATGTATCATTTAAAAAATGTAGATTTTATGGTACCCATAAGGTACCATACCTTTGTCCACATGGATCAATGAGAATGTAGAAGTTGAATTTTTTAAATCTAAATTAAAAATGATAAAGTGATGTGGTCCAATCAAATGAATGATAGGTACGGTACCCCTTTTTTTAAAAAAGGTATCGGAATTGTCACCTAAAAAAACCATAATGTTTAGATGGTGTAGGCCAGGACACTTCCTACATTTTCTCTCGTTGCACCATTTTAACTGGTCGCGTTCTTCATGCCGCTTTTGATTGGGTGCTCCATGGTCACTTCAAAAGGTGGAATCGATCACTCATACGCCTTTACATGCTCATCTGAGTATCTGACATAATGGTGGTTCAGAGTCTGATGTGAACAGGAAATTACTACATCAGGTGCAGGGCGGAGCTAAAGGGGGACCAGTCTAGACCATGATCCTTCCCAAATTTAAAAAAAAAACACTTTTGGTCCCTTGAGTATTATACCACTTCCACATTGTGTACCTGACTTTCAACTTGTCCACATCTGGTCCCTACCTTGTCTCACGTCACCATCAGTCGTCCTTCCCATCAAAACTCTGGCCGATAACGGGGAAGCACGAAATCCTTTGCATCGCGTCACAAAATCTACCTCCATTGACTTCTCCATCGCGTCGCCACCATCACTGGGCAATCGCCGCCGCATCGCCACCTTCGCTAATCCATCTTTGTCACCATCCATGCTCTGCCGCCGCCGTTGTAGGTGTGCTGGAGCTAGAGACGGGGTGTATATGTTGTGCAGCTGTTGTAGAGCGGCTGGTCAGGACTAGATTGGGGTTGTTTGGGTCTGATTTGGGCTGGTCAGAGGCTGGGAACAGTGGAGGGGTATTAGGGTTAGGGTGTTGGGGGCATAGGTCAGATAGGGGGCAAGGTTGTTTGTATTAAGCTATCCACACCGGTTGCGTATAGAAATACAAACCAACATATAAAGCCTTGAGCTACTCCTCCTAACAGGTTGATCTTTTAGGATGAAACCTCAAGTCTTAATAGTTTGCGAGTAAATGATGTTTCCGGGGGTGGCGGTGGCTGGCTGGTGGTGTCACTGTGACGGCGTGACTACGGCGGCAGTAACAACTTGGGCTAAGTAGAATGATGGATGTATTGTTGGTGGTGGTGGCGTGTCACATTGATGAGGCGGCGGCGGCCTGAGTAACTTTCGGCGGGTGGCGTCACTGTGGCAGCGTCACTACGGCGGCGTCACTGCAGCGGTGTAATTTGCGTGAAAAAAATTGGCGGTGACCACTCTTAGTGACACGAAAAACGAACACAGTGACATATTTTTTTTGCAGTAACATCATGTTTTTTAATGCCAAATATATGACCTTGTTAATCACTTTTTTGACAATTTTTAAAAGATAAAAGAGGCAAATAAGCCCTCGAACTATTTGCGATTTTGCAATCAGGCCCCTGAACCGGAAGACTTGCAAACACACCCCTCAACTCATTGAAAATCAAACAATCAGGTCCTTTTTTACCTGCTGGTGCAGGCAAGGAGATGAGAAACTATCGGCACCAGCAGGTAAAAAAGGGCATGATTGCTTGATTTTCAATGAATGAGTTGAGGGGTGTATTTGCAAGTCTTCCTGTTTAGGGGCCTGATTGCAAATGTTCAAATAGTTCAAGGGTTTATCTGCCCATTCTCTCTTTTTAAAAATACTTACATTTTTGAAAATTCAGTTTAATTTTGTAATATTAAGGAAATAACCCCCATAATAAAAAGAAAAAGATTAATTTAAAATATTATACATCGTCCCAAAATTTCAACTCAGTTATAGGCACACCTCTTATCGACGCTTATTATTTGCCCTAAACTGTCCTCTAATCTGTCTTCTAATAAGTTACATCGCTAGATTATTAAATTTTTGTCACTTTTAGTCCTTTGACTATTACGTCTAACACTTTTTGTACTCGACTTGGAGTTTTTTCACTTTTAGTCATTCGACTTTTATAAAAGTGACACTTTTGATCCTTCAACTATTACAATAATGACAAGTCTTTCAATTATTGTTTCAAATTTATACTTGGTAATACTTATGGGACTAAATGTGGAAAATTCTGAAGTGGAGTACTAAAAATTTCTCTCACAATAGTCTAGAACTAAAAAATGTCACTAACTCAGTGGGAAAAAAAACTCCTTCAGAGTCGCCGCCGCGGGATCACCAAAAAACTCCATTTTATAATACCTAGGGGACTGGAAATGGAAAAAACTCCTCCATTATTTTCAGAGTCGCCGCCGTGGGATCCCCTGCATAAGTGTACTTCTTCTTCCCGACACCTGAACCTCATGTGTTCCTGAAGCTGTGCCGATTTCGGCCGACCCGCCTATAGATCCGCACCCTGGGGTTGGGCTTCCTTATTATCTGGTGGGTACCAGATAAATGTCATCTCCTCCCTACTGTATACCATCGGGCTGGGTTTCCACCAGGGATGGCAATGGGGCGGGGTTGGGGCGGGGGTTCACTCCCCCATCCCCGCCCCGTGTCTAAAAAATCGCCCCCACCCCCCGCCCCATCCCCCACTACTATTCGACCCGCCCCATCCCCGCCCCGACCCGCTAGACCCACGGGTACCCAACGGGGAAGTACTCGTCAAAAATTAACATCATTTTAGACTGACAATTTTTCAAAAATTTAACAACACTTCTAGTAGCCATTTTTTTTTTTACTTTTTAAGTGTCAATGTAATCTTACATCTCATTTCAAATCTAGAACACATTATACGCGTTCTAAATTAGTAATTTTTATCAAACTCTAAATTAGCATTGATTAGCTCTATAATATTTTCTTAAACTCTGCATTCAATCAATCATGGTCATTTGACGGCATCTAGGATGACATATGATCACCAAATTTTAAGAGCCCTAACTACAATCATAAAGATGACATTCAAAAGAAAAGAATTAATGCATTATAATAGTAAAGGAAAAAAACTTTCACACCGTGCCTGAGGCGTTTAAGCTAATATCACTTTATAACTTTCCCAAATTCATTTTATTTTATCTCTAAAAAATTCATTTTACTTTATGATTTTGATAAGCAATTTTACAAGATAGCTTAGTTATTAAACAAGAATTAGATAGATCCATTACGCACAATCCATTAGATAGGAAACCACTAAACCCACCGGACCACCATGCTATTTTAATTACTTCGTATTAGTATTACTATTATTATTAGTATTATTATTGAGATTATTATTATTAATTATTACGGGGGACGGGGCGGGGACGGTGCGGGGGTGCATAACCCATCACCCGCCCCATATTTTTGCGGGGAGAAAATATCTCCCCCACCCCACCACCCGCCCCACCCCACCACCCGCCCCAACTCCCCCCACGGGGCGGTTCCCCACGGGCCTCCGCCCCCATTGCCATCCTTAGTTTCCACACTATATCTGCCACCCTTCCTATGTTCCAAACTGTCTGCTTCTTTTCGCTATATCTGGTGGCATGAGCACAAGGCGACTCTCGTTTAATTGTTCCGCTGGCTCCCATAAGCTATTTACGCTAGCTAAGTCTCCTCTCGCCCAATCCGTCTACCATCAGGGTTTAAGATTCTTGTTCGATTACTTCACTAGCTTCTTGCTCCAGGTAACTTTAGCATACTTATTATTTTAGTATGATTTTAATTAATTCTTCCGCAATTTATAGCGTTCCTTCGTATTTTTATTGAATTTCTGATTTGTCTGCTGATTTGGTTCATTGATTTGATTGGTTAAATGAGTTTTAACAAAAGAAAAAAACATATCTGATTAATACAATTGAGATGTAATCATGATGGTAAGATGAGTTTTATAGTTGAATGTTAGGATAAAGTCTTCTATGTTGCACTGGATTACAACTAAGCTGTTTTGACAATTATTTTTATGACTTGTAATCAATAGGATGATGCCACCTCATCATCCTATCAATGGCTGTAAATAGTTGGTTTGTTAGTAACCAAACGGATATAAACAAACTGTTGTAATTCGTTTGGCAGTTATGATGAATAAGAAGTCTCTTTCTCTCGAACCTCTTCTTCTTCCTCTCACTTAAATTCTTTCTTCAGCTAATTCTTGTTATGATTGTGTGATTCTCTCAACCTATCATAACAATTGGTATCAGAGCTCAGATTAAACACTTCCTCTGCAATGGCGAAAATGAGTAATACAGATCGTATTACTCAATTGGAAGCAGACTTGGCAAGTATTAGGCAAGAAATGGAGAAATACAATGAAGTTCAGAGGACGGACTTCAATAAGCTCGCGGAATTGAATGAGAAACGATTCGAAGAGGTTATTGCAGCTGTCAAGGGAATCAATGGTCATATTCATCAAGAACATACTCCTCGCAGATCAGATTCAGGACTGATCTCCACCCCAGGGCATCAACGAGGTCTAAAATTGGAGTTTCCCCAATTCAATGGTGAAAACGCAAGAGGATGGATTCGAAAATGCGAAAGGTATTTCCTAATCAATAAAATGTCAGATTATGAGAAAATTGTATTGATTGGAATGTATGTTTCTGGGAACATGGAGAACTGGTATATGGATAGAGTTGTTGGGAAAGAATCCATGGGCTGGGATGCATTTGTACTACTGTTCTTGGATCGGTTTTCAAAAGATAATGATATTATTGGCGAATTCAACAAATTAAGACAGAAGGGTTCAGTTGATGAATATGTGGATAGATTTTCTGAGCTGAAATCTTTTATGCTACAAAGAAATAAGTTTCTGGATGATTTCTATTTCTTGAAGAGTTTCTTGAGTGGACTGAAGGAAGAAATAAGGCATATGGTTGAAATGATAGATCCTGAAACCTTAGAACAAGCCTTTTTGGTAGCTAAGAAGCAGGAATCTTTGTTGGAAGCAGTAGGGAGGACTGGGAAAATGACCTTAAAACATAGAGTCAGATTTGAAAATGAGACCAAAATGATAAATCCTAATGAGAAATCATTACCTATTAGAAGATTGAATAAAGAAGAATTGGATGCTAGAAGAAGAAAAGGTCTGTGTTTTAATTGTGATGAATTATACACAGCAGGGCATAAATGCAAAAAGATATTTGCTATCTTACTGACAGAACATGAAGATCATCTAAGCACATCATTAGATGATGATGATGATAATGAGGAAGAGGTCAGTTTTGGAGTATCCCTGCATGCTCTAAAAGGTCAGGTGCCTACTGATACTATCAAACTGATAGGAAAAGTTAAGAACAATAATCTGACTATACTAGTGGACTCTGGGAGCACACACAGCTTCATAGATCCTGGAGCAGCTAAGAAGATTAATTGTGAGGTTGAAATCACTAATCCTCTACAGGTTACGGTAGCAGGAGGAGGACAGATTGAATGTAATTCAAAATGTCCTAGATTTGAGTGGGAGATGGCAGGACATTGCTTTTCAGCCAGTGTCAGGATATTACCCTTAGGGGGTTATGATATGGTAATGGGAGTGGACTTAATGAAGAGATTGGGACCTATTATGTTGGATTATGACAATCATACTATTACTTTTGATCATAAAGGAAAAAAAGTAGTAGTGCCAGGCATTCGACCAGAAATATCAGTCAAGATGATTACAGGAAGAAGGATGAATAATCAGTTGAAGAAGAGACATGGAACTGTTTTTCAGTGCTTTTGTATGGTGACTGCATCAGCAAATGAATCTGGAGATCACAAAGAAGCAGAATTAGAAGACATTATCAGGGATTTTCAAGATATTTTTCAGGAACCTACAGATTTACCACCCTTAAGGTCTTGTGAACATCAAATTAATTTGAAACCAGGGGAAAAGCCATTCAAACAAGCTCCTTACAGATACCCTTACATACAGAGGCAAGAGATAGAAAAACTGATTAAAGAGATGATTAACACTGGAGTAATCAGAACTAGCCAAAGCCCTTATTCCAGTCCTGTGCTATTAGTAAAGAAAAAGGATGGGTCTTGGAGATTTTGTGTGGATTACAGAAAGTTGAATGCCATAACCATCAAGAACAACTACCCCATTCCATTAATTGATGACCTGTTAGATGAATTACAAGGAGCAACAATATTCTCTAAGATTGACCTAAGGGCAGGCTACCATCAGGTGAGGATGAAGGCTGAAGACATTGAAAAGACTGCATTTACAACTGCTAGTGGACTGTATGAATTCGTGGTTATGCCATTTGGATTGACCAATGCACCAGCCACATTTCAGAACTTAATGAATAATATATTCAGTCAGCATTTGAGACAATTTGTTCTGGTCTTTTTTGATGATATACTGATCTATAGCCCAAATATGGAGACTCACAAAAAACATCTCAAGCAAGTATTTGAGTTGTTAAGACATCACACTCTCTTTGCAAAGAAATCTAAGTGTATATTTGGAGTTCCACAAGTGGAGTACTTAGGACATATAATCAGTTCTAAAGGAGTAGCTGTGGACCCTTCAAAGGTTAAGAGTATCATGGACTGGCCAATTCCATCTAACCTTAAAGCATTGAGAGGATTTTTAGGGATGACTGGTTATTTCAGAAAGTTTTGCTCAAGGTATGGTGTTAAAGCAAAACCTTTAACTGAATTAACAAAAAAGGGGATGTTTAAGTGGAGTGAAGAAGCTCAAAGAGCCTTTGAAGAGCTGAAAGTGGCAATGTGCACTGTACCAATTTTGCAACTGCCTAACTTCCAAAAACCTTTTATAGTTGAGACAGATGCATGTTATGAAGGGTTAGGGGCAGTACTGTTACAAGATGGTCATCCTATAGCTTATGTGAGTAAAGCTTTAGGACCTAAGAATCTGGGGCTATCCATATATGAAAAAGAGTTCTTAGCCATCCTACTGGCTATTGAGAAGTGGAGAGCATATCTGTTACATGCTCCATTCACCATAAGGACAGATCAGATCAGCCTCAAATATTTGGTCAACCAAAGAATATCCACTCCTACTCAACATAAATATCTTACCAAATTGCTGGGGTATGATTATACAATTGAATATAAGAAAGGTTTTGAGAATAAAGTAGCAGATGCTTTATCAAGAAGGGACCAGGAAGAAGAAAATATGGTGGGAAATTGTACTACCATATCAGTCACCAGACCAATGTGGCAAGAAGAATTAAGTGTAAGTTACCAAGAAGATAAGGAAGCTGAAGAAGCCATTTTTCAACTAATATCTATTCCTTATAACCTCAGTTACTTTTCATATCAGAATGGATTACTGAGATATAAAGGAAAGTTGTATGTGGGAACATATGGAGATTTAAGAAGGAAGATAGTGGTTATGATACATGAGAGCAGTTCAGGGGGGCATTCAGGAGTACTGGGCACACTGAAAAGAGTAGAAAGTGTATTTTGGTGGCCAAATGTGAAGTTAACAGTGCAGGAAGTTGTGAGTGCATGCTCCATTTGTCAATTATGCAAACATGAGAATATTAAGTCTCCAGGATTGCTGCAACCACTCCCTACTCCACAACAGGCATGGCAGCATATAACCATGGACTTCATTGAAAAACTACCTAAGTCTAATGGTTATGATACTATATTAGTAATAGTTGACAGATATACTAAGTTTGGCCACTTTATAGCTCTGAGTCACCCTTTCTCTGCATCTATGATAGCTAATACCTTCATTAATCATATCTGCAAATTTCATGGATTGCCTGAATCTATTATATCTGACAGAGATAAAATCTTCACCAGCCTCTTTTGGAAAGAACTCCTCAAATCTTTAGGAGTGCAACATCATTTGAGCACTGCCTACCATCCACAGACAGATGGTCAAACCGAGAGAGTTAATCAATGCCTAGAAAATTATTTAAGGTGTATGACTGGGAAGACACCTAAAGATTGGAGCAAATGGCTTTCATTAGCTCAGTGGTGGTACAATAGTTGTCATCACACAGCTATTGGAATGAGTCCTTTTGAGGCTCTCTTTGGATATAAACCACCAATGATGGAATTCAGACTCGGAAAAGAATTATCAGTGGTTGGAGTTGAACAAGAACTTGAGCAAAGGCAGTTGATTTCAGAGCAATTGAGGCACCAACTTCAACAATCTAAGCACAGGATGAAACAAATAGCTGACAAAAACAGGAGTGAAAGAGAGTATGCAGTTGGGGATTGGGTTTACTTGAAGCTTAAACCTTACAGACAACTGAGTATGAGGAAATCCAACATATGGAAGTTGAGCCCCAAATATAGTGGACCTTTTCCTATTGTAGAAAGAGTGGGAGCTGTAGCCTACAAACTGCAATTACCTGAAGGAAGTAAGATACATCCTGTCTTTCATGTTTCAGTACTGAAGAGACAAGTGGGAGTTGCTGATAGAGTTATCAATAGTATTCCTCTTATGAATGAAGATGGTGATACTATGCTGAGACCAACTGAAATTCTTGCCAGGAGGATTGTTAAGAGGAATAATGCTGCTGCTGTTCAATTACTCATCAAATGGGGACACTTACAAGAGGATGAAGCTACTTGGGAAGACTATGATAAAATAACTAAGCAGTTTCCGGAGATTAAAGCTTGGGGACAAGCTTCAATGGAAGGAGGGGAAAATGTTAGGATAAAGTCTTCTATGTTGCACTGGATTACAACTAAGCTGTTTTGACAATTATTTTTATGACTTGTAATCAATAGGATGATGCCACCTCATCATCCTATCAATGGCTGTAAATAGTTGGTTTGTTAGTAACCAAACGGATATAAACAAACTGTTGTAATTCGTTTGGCAGTTATGATGAATAAGAAGTCTCTTTCTCTCGAACCTCTTCTTCTTCCTCTCACTTAAATTCTTTCTTCAGCTAATTCTTGTTATGATTGTGTGATTCTCTCAACCTATCATAACATTGAAATATAAACAACTAAAAAGTAAAAGGGAATACTTTGTGCCGTAATAGTTTAAAAGTCACTGTAGTATCTCGTCTTCTAAACAAGACTTGTACAAATCATGTTTCTTAATATTTTCATGAACCAGCAGCATGTTTCTTAATATCACTGGGGGTTCACAAAGAAGCCCCTTTAACTATAACATGAGAGTGATTTTTTAATTTAACTTATATGAGCTCCATACTTTTGTTAATTGCCATTTATGCTCAATTGTATTATTTATCAATATGATATGTGAGTTTTCCTTTCCAAATGTCTTAGCTATCATATCACTTCGAAGAAAATGACATTTCAGCCCTTCTCTGATCATCATTTACAAACCAAGCAAGCAAGCCCTGGTATAGAGCAGAGTCTCAAACTAAAGGATAAGATTTAAGCCTAGCTCATATTGTCATGTAAACAAAAGCCAGAAAGCATGGCCTGTGGTATAATCTTATTGCCAATGGCAGAATCTTGAAGAGGATATTCACATCAAATTATCAAAAAGATAAAAACTATTAGGAAAAATTTGCTAAAGAAATCAAACACTTCAGCATAGAAATACCATAAGACACCTATATTTGGTACATTCATAGTTAGAATAAATCCATATGCCATTTTAAGCTCTTTTCGTAAGGCTATTAATAATTTCTCTGTCTCTGAAAGAAATGTTATAGAGAATGAATAGAGTAAAAAATGATATTTTTAAGAGAAACAAATGGTATAGGTACGCCGTCAACAATTGGTTTTATGTGCTATATTTGCTTTTATCAGTTAATAGTTTAAGCTTAAAATTTTCATATTGAAGGTGACTGCTCTTTTACTTCTCAGAAGAGTAGTTGGATTGAAAAAAAGAGAGGGAAAAAGATTTTGGATAGGTTTTTGATGATGTAATTCAGTTGCATCCTAGAGCTTAACAAGATCCAATTGGTAAATGTTTGGTACTATTAGCTGTTTTCTTTTATCGTACCTCTACGTATAATAAATTTCTTCTCTTACTATTTAGTACTATAAATCATACTTTGTCTTGGTCGAGGCTGGTGACCCTTACGCTAAACAAAAGAAAACTTAGAAGAAAGAATGAGTGGGACAAAAATTCTTGCTTGTTGTGCCACTTTAGTGGATGTGGAACAGAGAGTTGTACAAAATCTAAATGGTAACAAAAGACACCCTTTGCAACACACATATTTTCTTAAATGGCTTGCCTCTTCAAGTTTCTTTAAAAAACAACCTTTGCTTCTTATACCAAACCATATCAACAAACTGACACAAGTTCTCAGAACTAAGCCAAAGAGAAATAAGATAATTTGGAAAAGTACTACAAAGTGTATATGATGTTTTTATTGGCATATGTTTTCAGTAAATGAATGGTCACTAGTAGTGCTGCATAAATAATGATGCTTTTTGTGTGTGCAGGCAATATGAAAAGGCACATCGGTCAGCGTTTTACATTTATGCAGCACGTTTGTTTTAGGATGTTCAGACATTGTAACTTTACAATAGTCTTCTAGAATAGCCAAATATTTCGAGTGGCCAAACACTGTCCACAATCTTTTGCTGTTATATTAAGATTAAGATAGATATAAGAGATAGATGGACAGAATGAATTATTCATCAGTTCCAATTCATTCACTGGTCTAGACAATGATTCGGCTATCCCTTTCAGCCTACATACCCATATTCCACACGCACGTCGTTTCTCAATCTTTACTGTTTCATTCAACTTTTGCAGAAAGATCGAGTCTTTTGTCACTTGAAACCCGAAATTATGAAAACTTTGACCCCAACAAGCACAAAGACTGGCTCAGTCCTACACAAGTGATCAAAATTTTCCATAATCTGAAAGACCCACATTCAGCCTTGAATCTGTGGACACAAATCTCAAAACGAAAAGACTACAACCCTAATGAAGCGCTCTACTCAGCGGTCATCAACAAGCTCGCAGATTCCAAGAACTTTGACGGAATTGATACCCTTATGGAAAGAATCAAATGTGAGAGAAAATGCAGGCTTTCCGATGAGTTTTTCTACGAGGTGATCAAGATATATGGGAATGTAGGTGGTAGAATAAACAGAGCCACATATACCCTCTTTGATATGCCTAATTACAAATGTTGGCCGAGTGTAAGAACATTCAATTTTGTTCTGAACTTACTCGTGAACACGAAGCAGTTTGATGTTGTTCACGAAGTGTATTTGGGTGCCTCAAAGTTGGGTATCGAGATAGATGCCTGTTGCTTGAATATCATCATAAAAGGCTTATGCAACTGTGGGAAACTCGACAGTGCATTCCAAGTGCTCGAAGAATTTCCCAAGCAAAACTGCAAGCCTACCGTAAGGACTTTTTCAACAATTATGCGCGCACTCTGTGATCGCGGTTGCGTTGAGGACGCATATGGGTTGTTGGAGAGGATGGGAAAGGAAGGAGTGGATCCGGATACGATCACATTTAATATCTTGATTTCGGGATTTATGAAGCAAGGGAGAGTTGAAGAGGGGATTGAGGTTTTCATGAAGTTGATGCACAAAGGTTGTGATCCAAACGGAGGGACTTTTCAGGAGGTGCTGTATGGGCTTCTCAGTACCAAAAGGTTTGTTGATGCCATAGGCTTTATGGGAATGATGATTGAAAAAGGAGAGAATCCGAGTTTCAAGTCGTATAAATTGGCTATTCATGGCCTGTGTGATCAAAATCTAACTGCACAACTCGACTGGCTACTAAAGCAAATGGTTAGGCATGGGTTTGCACCAACAATGGGGATGTGGAAAAGGATGGTCGAGTGTTTGTTTCTACATTCCGATCATTGACTGAATGACTTTTGTAGAAGCTTTGAACGTTCTTTCCAAATTATTATTATCATCATCATACATACATACTGAAGAGCAGTTTCCATTTATGAATTAAGATGGATGGCAACATGTTTTGCTCTATCTGGTTTGCCCTTTGATTTCGTGATCCTCAAAGATTGAGAATGGTACTTTTAACTCAATCGCAACTTCTTCTTCAGTCATTAATTTAGCCAATAACAAGTTTTCTGGTGAAATACCCTTCTTCAGTCAAGGGCATATGCGTGGAAGAATTTAAGAGTTATTGTTCCTGAAAGGGGTTGGGTTGAGGATGGATTTGCAGTTGTTGGGTGTTAGTTGCAATTGTTGTTAATACTTCCACAGCTTAGCTTTGTTCTCCGCATGCTTTTCTTTTGTTGGATTCACACTGCATGACTGCACTATGCTTATTTCGTATATAGTCACATACTCACAGATTCTCCTAAAGCATGTACTTTTATATCATTTTTTGTGTTATTGGATGAACATTGTGCCTTTGCCGACTCTTGCGTTTCTCACACTTTCACTAATACTCCGTACTACGTAAATTTATGCAGTTTCTGTTACTCCGGGTACTATTTTATTCCAAAATAGAAGTACCAGTACTGTATATTCTTCTAATAACAACTCACTTTATTTATCTACTTTTGTTCATGAAATAATTATAACATTAAATCGTTAATAAATACTTCGTATATAAATACTAATTTTGTTCTAATCATAACAATGTCAAAAATATAACTTTCAATATTGATCTCAAATACTAATACGGAGTATGTACAATGTCAAATACTATATGTAGTACTCCGTATATTCTGAGTTTCATATATGGTCTTCCGCAATTGATCCAGTGACTTGCAAACCTACAGAGCCTGTACAAACAAACAAAAAAGGGAAAAAAGGAAATGTTCAATCTGCATTGTTCCCGATTCATCTTCCTCTGCAAAATTCAAGACGGCTAGGAAGAACAATTCATCTTTGTCTTCACATTTCATCTTTAATCACAATGGCAGTTGAATCCATGCGGAAAGGAAGGTAGTCTTCTTTCCGTATGGATACAGGGGTGAGATTGTTTTAAATGTTGCTACAAACTGAACGCAGAAGACCAGAAGTGCAGAACGCCCAGTCTTCACTGCCCACAGCCAACCAACTATCATCTGATTCGTCTCAGACTCACCCATGAAGACCTGAAGAGCAAAGACAGTGAGAGGAAATTCTCGCAAAACAAGGATCAATTATGGCCGGAAGCTCTAACCCCCTATTAGACGAAATGCAAACACAACTAGAGGCCATCCGGGAGGAACTTCGTGCAGCCAAAAGTGCTGAAGCGGCACGATTGGAAGCCGTCCGGGAAGAATTACGAATAGCCAAGGAGGCCAACCAATCAAAAGAAGACGCTCAAACTCAACTAGAGGCCGTAAGAGAAGAGATGCGGCAACGAATAGCTCTTCTCCAAGGCGAAAATGACGCCTTGAGATCACAAGTTCAATCGGTGGCATCAATAGCGTCAAACTCACGAAAAGGTAAAGAAGCGATGACAGCCGCATCAAGATTGGACATGGATTCCATTCCAATCTCAACTTCGACGATCAATTGAGATCAAACTTACGCTCAACACACTATTATTACTAAACACTTGTACTCACACTTTCGGCGAACAGAAAGCCGTATAATATATTGCTCTATTTCTTTCTAGCTTCAATCCTCCATTGTTGATTCTTATTTGCTTGATTCCCAATTATACTATTTTAAATTAGCTTATTCCTTGTTCAAACAAGGACGAATTCACGCAATCGGAATGCCGACCGGCCTTCCTGCCTAGATACCGACGCATCTACGGTAGTGAGCCTCGCCGCCTCCCGATGACCCGACCGTCGCCCGACCTGCTCCTGACTCCTCCCCCTCCTTTAGACTTCAGTGCTTCCTGCTTTCCTAATATTCAACAAATAATTATTAAATTTATAAATTTAATTAATTTCAAGCACTAATAAAATGTTTGAATTTGGATGAGAGAAAGAAAGAAAAACAGGGGAAAAAATAAAGATGCGGCTCTCAGTAAAATAATGTTCAATGAAAAAAATTGTTTTTGTAAAGTCAGATAAGCTTGTTTATGAAGCTATCCGTAATGATTTCGCTTCACAATACTCAGTGAGAAATGTATTGAATTACTAGCTACCTCTGTCCTACATTGAATGTCTTATTTTAGTTTGACATAATTATTAATAAAGTGATCGAAAAATAAATATTATAATTGAGATTTTGTATAGAATAAAATGAAATGATAATGATCACATATTTATTTCCAAAAAGAAAAGATGACAATCATTTTGAGATAATCCAAAAAGAAAAATAAGACAACTAAAATGGGACAGAAAGAGTAATATTTTACTAGTATTTTATTTTTTATTTTGAAACTGTGATCCTAAAATGTTTAGTTTAACAAATTTAAGTCTTCATTATTATGAAAGTCTCGAAATATTCTTACTATACATGTTAGTTTAGATGAATAAGAGTTTCACAACTTTTTTTTATTAAGCTCATTTTAAATTCTCCCCCCAAAACCTTCAATTAATCAGGACCGACTCTAGGTAGCTGAATCCTTTGTGTAGTCAAGAATATGCAAACGTGTAATTCCTGATGATGTTTTTATGTGGACTAATTATGGTCACATTTAGATCAGAAAAGATTTAAAAAAATCAGATCAGATTTAAACACACTAGATTAGACTAGACTTTACAGTTGTAAAGTCCATATATATGGACTTGACATTCATCGACTTGATTAATTCAAATTAGACAAAATCGAATCAAATTTAAACACGACAGAATAGAGATTTCAATTCCATTAAAAACATTTTAAATTGATATCTCGAATTATTTTCACGTTTAACACTTAACTTTGGAACGGCATTTGTCAAAGTTGTCTCTAAGGAAACATACCGGAAATTTGTGTCTATAAGTAAAGAATCCAAACGTTGTCTTATGTTCAACAAAGGCCCATTAGCTCAGTTGGTTAGAGCGTCGTGCTAATAACGCGAAGGTCGCAGGTTCGAAACCTGCATGGGCCAATATTTTTGTTATTGCTCTTCTGGATGAAAAATCAATTACAAAAGCTTTAAAATATCAAGCTAATCACCTACTGGAATGGCCAGTTAGGTCGGTTGCGAAGCATATCTCACTTATTCAGGTTCTTGATTTTTTTTCGTAGTCCACTACTGATGACCGATGTTAATTCACCAAAAATTAATATTGTGACATCCCCCATTTATAACGATTTTTTTTTATAAGATCTATTACTGCTTTATGAATAAAAGCTGTCACAATAATCCTAATTACAATGGTCCATGATTTTTATTTTGTCACTCGTGCTTATTTTTGTTTCAAGTCCACTACATTAATAACCTGTGTTAAATAACTTAAATCATGACTAACTAATACTACTACGTGTTTGTTACACCCATCCCTTAAAGTTGATAAAAACGGTACAAAATGGTGGTATAACGTTGCGGAATTCCTTAAATAGGACTTAAAGAAGTTGGAATTGTAAAAATAGAACGGTTATGTTTTATTGGACAAAAATAGGATTAAAAGAGCTAATCTGACAAAACTACTTTTAATGGAAAAAATAAAAGTTTTGCAGGTGTCTGTGCGATACATTTCCCCTCCCAGACTTCTCAGGTGCTAGATCGCCGATGACACTTGGGAATCATCATACTGACTAGGCTTGATACACATTCGAGCAAATCTACCGTCTCTACCGCCATCCTTCGACGAAGCCGCCACCATCCTCCGGTGAAGTTGCCGCCCTCCAACAAGTCACTGCAAACCTCCAGCTGGAATGCCATTTTAATAAGAGTTATGACATTTAAATAACATTTTTCGTAAAAAAAAAACATGACATTTTCATAATAGTGACATTTTCATAAGAAATTATGTAATTGTCATATTTAAAACTGACATTTGTATAAGTTTAAAATTTGAAATATAAAAAGTGACTTTTTCTAATATTCCGCATTCTCATATTCAAAAAGGGGGGAAATAATTAAAATATCCCAAACTTTAAAGGGGTGTGAGATAAACACCCCAAACTTGTATTTGTAATTTAAATACCTCAAACTTTATATAAAAAGTTATTTTTGCACCATTGTCAACTATTATTTCTTTCAGAAATAATAATTGATGGTGTTAATTTCTCAATTTAAAATCTTTTAGAATTCATGAAGACACAATTAACATTATAAACTTCCATTGCGAAATAAATAATGTTACCCTCAATCTATATAATTGCAACACTTTTAATTTGATAGTCTGAATTATGCAATTAACCTAATAGATTAACATTTTTGAAAGAAATAATACATGAAAATGGTGTGAAAATAACTTTTTATATAAAGTTAGGGGTATTTTCATTACATACGCAAGTTTGGGGTGTTTACTTCACATCTCATCAAAATTTGGGGTATTTTTATTATTTTTCCCATTCAAAAGGTGACATTTTTTCTAATAACCAGTAGTTATGACATTCCTATATTCAAAATTGATTAAATAAAAATTCAAACTCAAATATTTCCTACGGTTATAGACTTATAGATTTGAAAGAAAAAAGCATAAAACAGAGCGCAAGAGGGGGAAGAAGTGGAGGGAGGAGGAGGAAAAAGAAGAAACGGTGAGCAACGCCTGCAATCGATGGTGATCGAGTTGCGTCCATGGCGGAATCGTAGGGAGACCGAGGTAGAGAAAGTAATCGCAGGTGTTAGCGATCGATGGTAGAGATATTGGGGAAATGACAATGATTTGGGGATTATGGGTAAAAAAGAAATCTACAGTCCCATTTGGGGAATGTAAAACTTAATGACCTATTTGAGAATTTTAATCATGTTTTAGTCTCATCATCATTACCTCCAGTACTGTAAAAGGCTCCCACCTACGATAGGATAAGGGGGGTCGGATGTACGCAAGTACGCAACCTTACCCTTGTACTAAAGCACATAGATGTTGTTTCCGAATGACCCAGAGAGGTTGTACTAAAAATTGCATGGACTGACAGTTGCTTCATAACAAAGAAGCGCAGATAGTTTAGTAAGACATTTTGCTTTATTCCATCATATTCCAAAGTCAATAAATAGTGAATCTTTGACTCCATTGAAAATAATGAAAAATTACTTTTTATCTTTATTATCATGAAAACAAAAAAAAAAATACATTAAATTTACACAAATATGTATTTCAAAATTTTGAGTGTTCATGTACATACTTTACTCTCAAATGGCTCGACCCGGCATAAAATAAAACTTTCGCTAAACTTAAAGCATATTACCAATCACCAGATGGGCCAGATATGCTATAAATGCTAAAATACGGAGTAAAATAAAAATATATGCGCACATGCATAACAAATTAATACCGGATATTTTATCTAGGGGTGGTTCGGTACGGTATACCGGATATTTTATCGCATACCTTTATCATACCGTAAACTTTCGGTATGCAAAAATACATACCGTTACCATACCGAAATTTCGGTATACCTTGTTTCGGTATTCCGAAATTTCGGTACGGTAAGGTACGGTATCGGTAAATTACCATGATTTAATATAACAAATTATTATATGTTAAATGAAATAAAGAAAATCAGTGTTAATAGTGATATATTAAAATCAATAATGAAATTAATTATAAAATACCAATGAGATAACCTATTTGTGTTCTATTCAACTTTTGACAAAAAAATATTATAAATATGTATAGATATTTCAACACATGATATATGAAGATAACAACACATTCTGTTAAAATAATTTAAACAACATAAATATAACTAAAATAACACCGATCTCCAACAAAAAGTATAAATAACTCAAGAAACATAGATATAAAGTCATTTATCCTTGAATTGGTGTTGTGTTTCTAGTTATTTTTACAATTTTAAGGAAATTATTGACTTAGAATTACGGTATGACGGTATACCGGTATACCGTTTGTTTCCAAAATATATACCGATACCATACCGAAATAATTCGGTACGGTATCTTAACGTACCAAAAACGTTGATATACCAAACATTTCGGTAAATTCGGTATTTTTCGATATGGTAAGTCCAGTATACCGAAATTTCGGTATTTTTCCCCACCCCTTGCATCCTGTAGAAAAATGGTATAAATCTCAGACAAGCAAAATGGCACTTTCAATCATTCCCGAGCAAGTCAAAATAGTAAATGGTAATTGTAAATGATTTGTTGTAATGATACCAAGACTACAAAATTTGAAGCGAATTAGGGCTTTAGAATATATGTAGTACTAGTATATTTTTTCCTCTTCAATAAAAACGGGAAAATTCCTGAGTAAAAACGATTGGGAATTCCATAATAGGAGTGATGTGTTTCCTTCTCTAAATAGGAGTACTTTACCAACATAATGAAAATTTACTCTCATATTTTGACATTACTGAGCTTCAAACATGGCAATATACTGCAAAAGATGCCAATTTTTTCCTAGTTTAACAGTAATTACTCATAGTTAGCGAATAAAAACATAACATCCTATTGTACGGTTCCCGTACGTTTTTAATCCTAATTAGGGCAATTTCTTATATATAATATGACTAAGAGTTGTAGTCCACAAGCCCAAGATCTCTAAGTGCGTCCGTAGCTGCAGCTTTACAGCTTTTGTGGGTTGACTTGGCCTTCCTAATCAGCTTCTCTATACCATTTGCCAACAAAAGCACTCTGCAGACGTTGAAAAAACATAATTCCATTTATTTAATTTCTTGCTGAGCCACACATCTTCCCGTACTAGACAACAGGGATAAACAAGTAAATTAGGGAGTGGGGGAGACAGACTTGCCTATTCTCAGGATTTCTGGCCACAAGATTACGGATCATGAAACAAGCATTTCGTTGTAGTTGCTCCGATTGAAGAAACCTTTCCATGGATTGGATGGCAAGATCACCTGCTCCAGCTTCAATGGCACGAGCTGCTTTCTCTGGGGATCTCAAGCATAGCACGGTAAAAATAGACATTATCTGTGTCACAAAATATACATATTTTTGGATAATTTGTAGTTTTATAGAATTTGCAGCATGACCATAATGTTTGGATATCATTTACCTCTTGAAGTACAGAAGGATCATTAGAAAACTGCATTGATAGTCTAATAAGCCTATCCATTCCTCTCTTCTCCACTATCGCACATTTGTTTGCATCACTTCCTGCTAACTGGTCAAGCTCAAACAGATTAACTTTTCTTCATGTTCCAAATACAATTTGAATTATGGCCCCCATAATTATTTAAGAATATATAATACAAACCAACACAAGGGAACATCAAATGCTTGTCACTTTAAAATAAAATAAAAACATACGGCAGAGCAACAAGTGCCAACATGACAACATCACATACATGTCACTCAACCTTCTTTTGGTCAAGGTAAAATAGGAGAAAAAGAAATAGAAGAGAAATAAAGAACTATTCTTGTTTTGGGAAAGGAGAAATATGAGAGAAAAGAATACATTGGGTCCTATGTTCTATCTATTCCTTCTCTCATACAGAGATACACAAATCTCCCCCTGATTTATACCTGTTCCTTCTTCGTTTCTCTATTGCCACAAAACGTACAAAATCTTAGTTTTTCGCTAATACTTTTCTTTGTGCATCTCTTTATCATATACTCCCTCCGTCCCGGAAACAAGTTCCCGGGTTGACTTTCACACATTTTAAGGAAATAAAGTTACTGAGGGGTAAATTTTACTGTTTGGCACTGTTTCGACACTGTTTAGCACAGTTTCGACACTGTTTGGCACTGTTTGGCACTGTTTTGATGTAGGATAACTTTCCATTTAGGGAAATGGGAAGTTTATTTTGGGACATCCAAATAAGGAAAGTGGGAACTTGTCTCCGGGACGGAGGTAGTATTTCTCTCTTCTATGTTTCTCCCTAATCCAAAGTCCAAACAATGGCTTATAGATTTGAAAGCATAATGAGAAACACTAAAAAGTATGTGTCTCTGATATAACATGAATACAAAAAAGAGGTTCACCAACTTCTGAACAAATGTGCCCCGGGAAGTAATGTGAACCAAAGAGCAACAAAAAACTAGAAACCATGCTTAGTACCTTACATAACAAAGAGCAACAAGTTCTAGCTAAGGTTTGATTTCCTTGTTGTCCACTATCAACAATACAAGAAAGAATTACATCTATACCACCATTGTCAGCAACAGCTCTGCATATTTCTTCCTGAAAAGAAAATGCGGAAGGGGGGGAAACAGTTTCAGTAGAAAATTTGAAATCATTTAGCAAACAAGGATTTCAATATATATGTTTGGACTTTGGAGACCAAATACAAGTTTTCTAACTAACAACTTCAGATGAAAAAACTTACATTAACAGCAACCGATTTCAAAGCATTGCATGCTGACAACATACTGGGTGACCTGATCCCCTGACTGAGAGATCCCACAAGCGCTTCAACAACTCCAATCTTTGCAAATCTTCGGGCATAGCCAAAAACCTATTATTCGGAAACAGGCACCAAAAGCTAAACAAAGTAACTAAACAAGTGAGAGCTCTTCAATCTTAACCTTTTTTTCTACTTATGATGGGAGAAACTCCTACATAGACTACTAGAGGTATAATTAAAAAAATATTCTACTTACTTGTGAAGCTATCACACGATTATCATCAGATGTAAGCAGGATTTGAATGGCATCATATAAACAAGGAGTGCCCCCACTTGTGTGTTCCCTCAGGCACTGAACGATTAATTCATCGATTTTCAAGTCCATAAATAAATCTTTGAGAACCTCATTACCAGTTGCAGCTGCCGCAATGACAGCAAATCCACTATCCAAGATGCTCACATCTTGGATCTTATCATTAAGGATACCTACAACAGCTTTTGCTCCACCACTCTCCCTAAATATTTCTGTGCTTTGAAGATCTGTGGATAGAAATACAACAGGCACATGTAAAAATGAAGTGCATGAATTTAAAAAGTTGGTGCAATGTGTAAAGTGAAAACCATACGGTTTCCCAAATAAATAACCCAACAAGAAGCTTTAGGCCTTTAGGGTCTATTTGGAGTTTGGACGAGGTTTTTGGAAGGATATGAGGGCATAGTTGTCATGGCGCATGGCGGCCACCATGGCCCAAAGGCATTTTTTATGGCGCATGGCGATGGCGCATATGGTGCTATGGCGACGACCACTTTTTCATGGTGATGGCGCATTTGGCGCACGCCATATCTCGCCATTGACTACTATGTATGAGGGTGAGTCTATATTATGATTTATAAATTGTTTATAGAAGCAAATAAAAGACGATTGAAAAGTTATGTGATCATATATTATGTTAGTTCATCAACTTTTATAAGCTATTCAAGTACATATCAAGACATAGACTAATCCTCCTAAAGAATTGTCCTCCACAACCCCCATCCAAACAGACTCTTACTTTCTTAGGCCAGCACCACTCAGATAGATGCATAGTTGTTCCTGTTAACTCTAGAAAGAGATAAACTCCTAAATAACCACTTTAAGAATGGCCAATAAAGATCCTATTAAATTAAATTAGAAGAACATACTGAATGCCAATCGCTGCAAACAATGATAAGCAAGCCAATATAGTGCACTTAATGTAATTAAAAACATTTAGAAGTCAACTAGAAGACAAGGCAATATTTCCTTTACGGCCTAGCTGGATGAAGGACTTTGGAGGGGATTGGAAGGGAAGGCTTTGGAGGGCTTAGTCTATATTTTGATAATTAGAATATCCTATCACATGTGATGTAAGTATATTTTAATTTTTATAAAATCTCAAATATGTGAATAGACATAGACTATGTTCTGAAAGTATTCCTTCAAAACGTTCCAAAACACCCCATTCAATTATCCAAACAGACCCCACAGTACCGCTTAAAAAGTTGAGAATCGCTTAATGAGGCAGTAAAGCTCATACCATGAAGTAGCTTAGCCAATGTCCTGAAAGAAGATATCACCCCCTGATTGCATCCACCTGGAAGCTTCAACAAAATCGAGCATACAAGTTGCACTCCGCCATTCTTAGTAGCAATGGCTACATTGCCCGATCCTTCATCAGCGCACAAATCATTCAACCTACCCAACAATTCCATAATTTCATTCAGATCATCATCGCTGTTGAATGTACCAGCCGATTCAAGATCCAACTGCTTCAACCGCTCGATCGTATGAATAACAGGATTGCTATTCACGGAACTCTCCCCAGGGACGCAAGTGACAATCCCTACCGGACAGAAAAAGACATGTTATCCAATATGCATTGTTCGTTAGGGTGGGTGATGAAGGGGCGTGAAGTAGAATACCTGAAAGATCGACGCCTTGGAGAGTTAGGGTTTCAATGGCGTCTTCTAGAGCTTCAGTGGGACTCATCCCGATATCTTCTATGTTCTCCTTCACCATTTCATCGAATGCTTGCTGAGATACTGTGCGTACAGTCTTCGGTGGCCCCATTGTAATCAGAGATCTCCGGTGCAACAGAGGATTCAGACCAGTACAGTAGAGTTAACAGTGAGGGATGGATAAAAGTGCGGCTGTATAGGAAGGGGATTGGAACCAAATGGGACGGGAACCGCGCGGATGGTTCCGGACTTCTTGTTCCAGCTTTCTATAACAGAAAAGGCAATCAATCTGGTAATGAACTGGTTCTTGTACAGGTACGGGTTAAGGTGACACTATTTGGATGCCGTTTCAGATTAACCTTATTTTGCATGGTTTTGTTTAGGAAAAATTTACAAGAATAATGTCACTTTTCACTGGTCTTCTCATAATAATCCCACCTTTAAATAATCTCAAAATAATTTCACCTTTGCACCTCATCTTCTTTCATTGGACCATGACCATGTTTTTTACTCTTTCTTTGAAAATTATACAAATAATCTCACCTTTCACTTTTTGATTATATCCTTATAAATGTGAGATTATTTATATAAGATTTTTAAAAAAAATAAAAAACTTGGTCAAGGTCCAATGAAAGAACATGAGGTGCAAAGGTGGGATTATTTTGGGATTATTTAAAGGTGAGATTATTATGAGAAGACCAGTGAAAGGTGAGATTTCTTGTCAATTTTTCCTTTTGTTTAATGTTTAATGAGAGGGCGTTTGTCATGCTGTTTTTCTGCTTATGGGCTTTTCAGTCAACTTTTTCATCATATACATATGTAATAATTTTTATTTTCGCACGCTGAATTGTGTCATAATAAGAAAAAGTAAGGTTGGAGTTACTTTTCTGGTTGTACTGACTAAAATTGCTGTAAATGACCATTTTAGCTATTTTTACATATAATTTTTTCTCTATTTTATTATTAAAATATATTTCAAAAATAATTTTTTCTTAAATCAGCAGAATCAGCCAGAATTTCATAAATTTCAGCAGAATCATCCGAATCGACCTTGATGGATTGTCTACCCGGGGGGTATCCTATCCGAGGGGTTATTGCGGGAACAACTAGAGAGAAGTCAGAGTAAATAGGAGGAGAGAGAGTCGATTTTATTAAATGAACTCAGCGTGTGGAGTTGAGATGTAGATTGTGTCTATTACAAGGAGAAATGGGCTGCTATTTATAGCAGCAATAAATGCGATGAGAGGACACGTGTCAGTAATCCAACGGCCGAAGGGTCACATCAGCCTAGTGGCACCGGCAGTGGTACGTCAACCGCATTGAATGCGGTTGGCGGATGCGACGTGGCATTAAATGCGGTGGTTGGCTGTCTCTAAAAGGAATCTTCGATGATTGAGCTAGTTCAGCCGTAGGCTTCTTGCGTAGCCGAGGGCTCCTTGTGCAGCCGAAGGCTTGGTTGAGCCGAGGGATTCATAGTGCCGAGGGCTCCATAGTGCCGAGGGCTCCTATTTTCTGTCAATTTCTCCCAGTAGCTTCGCACGGTCGAATATGGCGGTTCTGTGAGTTCTGGAGCCTTCGGCCAAGGTGGCCGAAGGCATCCCTGTGTGTACCGTGGCCTTCTTGACGCTTGGGCCGCCGAATCTTGGGCCTCCCGAGCTCCTTGAGCTTGTTGGGCTTGTGATAGATTAGTGGGAGTCTTTGGGCCGGGGGTTCCTGGGCCATATACTCCATCAGGAGTCCCTCACTCCTTTTGCCGAAAGGTACTTGAGGGAAAAGGAGTAGATGTGATGATTCTTCCGGGGGCTTCATCGCCTGTCTGGGTGCCTTGTTTGAGAACTTGTCTTCTGTTGATTGCCGAAGGCTTCCCTCAGTCCCTCACATGTCGAGGGTTTTCTGAGGGAAGGTACTCGTAACCTTCGTATGTTCGCCGGGGGCTCCCCCTCAGTCCCTCACACGTCGAGGGTTTTCTGAGGAAAGCATAGATGTCTTGTCTGCATGTATTGTGATGTTTGCCCGGAGGCCGTATGCGTCAATTGTTGCATGAAGAATTTTTTGTTGTGTGTGATCCCCGAGGGGTGTATCCTAGTCCCCCACTCCTTTAGGCCGAAGGCAAGTTCGGGCTGAAGGAGTTATGATGAGTTGATGCGAACCCGAGGGGTGACAACGTTGATGAGCCAGGTGCCTATGGCTGCCATCTCGAAGGCGCTATGTTGGAATTCATTGGCTGAAGGCTGTAGTGAATGATAACCGGAGGCTATAATTCGAGGGCACTCCAGTGCTTGCGAAATAGAGCCGTTGCAATATAGCCGTTGGAAGAGTAGTTGACGTGGCGTGTCCTCGTTGGTTGAAGGCGGGCGGTAGCCATCCATTGGCTGAACCGGCGGCCCGTAATGATGGCCTTTTTAAATCGAGGCCCAGTTCTCGAGGCCGAAAGTCTATATATACCCCAAGCCAAACTCATTCCCTTGCGCGTTTTAGAATTTGAGGCGAAGCTCTGTCAAATTTTCTAGAGAGAGAAAGTCCCCTTTTCGATCAAACCCCAGAATTTTCCTCGATCCAAGATCAGTTCATCCTTTGTTCTTGTTCCTTAACGTATTTCTTGCTTCCATTCCTTTAGATCTAGTGTTTAGAGCTTCTAGGAGCCTTCGGCTAGAGTGCTTGAGTAGTATTCTCCCTTAATCCTTTCAAAACTTGCCGGGTGAGATGTCTTCGCAAAGCGACTCACAAGATATTTCGAGGGAGCCGTCGGCACAGCAAGAAAATTTATCGGATGCGGAGTCCTCTAGCGAGCAGTCCTCGGCGAATAATGACTCAGCTGTCGCCGAAGAGGTCCAAGATAACCTTCGCACCGAGCTGGAGGCGGAGGAGTTCGAGCAGGTGATCGAGGACGAAGAAATGGCCCTCGCGCTGCAGGTAGCGGAAGAAGAGGAGGAGAAGGAGAGGCAAGAAGTCACAGTTGCTGTCCTCCCACTTCGTGGTGCCGGTGAAGCAAGCACCTCCCGGCCCCTAGATCCGGAACCCCTTAGTGTCGCCGTGGGGAAGAAAAGGAAGAAGACGAAGGCACCACCGAAAGGCAAGCAAACCGCCGTTGACTGCGGGAAGCCTGTTGGAATTCCCGAGGGGCATTCATGGCTGAATACTGCCGCCCTCGCGCTGAGATCGAAGGCTGATCGGGCAGAATGCTATGTCACGCAGTTGCATGTAGGCCCTTCGGCGACTGTAATTGAACCGGGACCCGATGATCTCTTGTTGCGGGCTCCGGAGGGTTGTTTTGCGGTCCATGTGCTGTCGGTTGCCATGGGCCTCCGGTTCCCGCTACATCCCTTTCTCCTCGAGTATCTGAGGTATGTGGGTTTAGCCCCCTGCCAGCTAACCCCAAACAGCCATTCCTATATAACTGGCTTCCTGCAGCTGTGCCGATCCCGAGGGGTAACTGCGACCCTCGATCTTTTCTTTCAAAGTTTCAACCTGTGCCGGGGGGGGCATACCAATTCCGAGGGATTCGCCAACCTGCAGCAACTCGCCCCCTTCAGGCTTTTCGATGATGTTCCTTCGTCCCACAAAGGATGGAAGGATCGCTTCTGCTACGTCAAGATGGCAGAAAATCCATTTCCGGGGGAACTACGCAACCACTTCAGGCGGCACCCGAAGGTGGGAAACGCCGCACTCCAGAAGGAGGGAAAGAAGATTGCGGCTTTGCTGCCGGGGGCCACGAAGCACGTGACAGTCAAGGACTCTACTCTCCCCGAAGACTTGCTGGCCCTAGGCTTCCGGCGGTACCGCTTCCTGGGCGAAAAGGACGAACAGTACCCTGTCCTCGAGAGAGCCTTCGGTGGCATTGGAGGTAGTTACCGGAGGGTCTGGTTTATTGCACTTAGGATTTTTGTTGTTTCCTTATTTCCTTTCTTTGGTAATTGACCCCTTCGGTCTGATTTTACCGTTGTTTTGCAGGTGTTAGTATGGACGTCTCCAACTTTGCCGCGCTGAAGAAGAAGCTGGCCAAGGAGCCGAAGAGGAAGAAGGAGACGGGGGTTCAGAAACCTGTCGATGAGTTCTTCCGAAAGGGAGGGGATGCTCAGGTCCCGGAGGGTGGGGGGCCCTCCCAAGCTGCTGATACCGGTGCTGGTGCCGGGGGCTCCAAGGCGGAGCACAAGAGGAAAAACGCGGGGAAAGGCGTGGCTCCTCCGGAGAAGAAGAAGAAGGGGGGGCCCGAGAAGACGGACGCCCCCATTGTTGTTGTCGAAGAGCACTCTTCCTCCTCCCCCTCGCAAAACGTCCTTCCTCCTCCCGGGGGCCAAGATAGCAGCCTGGCCTGGCCCCGGGATGATGTGCAGTTCTCTATCACCAAGGGAACTGCCATCATGCATGGCACCCTCAACCCGAGGGAGTTCCTGAAGGGTGCCACTCCCCCGACCGACAAATCGGTGCTTTCGAGGGCCAAAGATGATGCCCTCAGCGCAAAAGTGCTCCAGGCCTCCGTCACCGTAAGTCTTTTCCTTCTCCTTTTTCTCTGAGTTGTCTTTGACATATCTTTATCTTGATACTTAACCCTTGCTATCTGATGGTTTTGATTCTTAGGCTGCCCTCGGTCTCGGGGAGCTGCTCCAGAGGATGGAGCAATATCAGGCGCAGAAGCGCCAGGCTGATGAGGCCCTGGCGGAGTCCCGGCGGCAACTCCAGGAGGCCCAAGAGACCCTCCGGCTGGAGAAGATGGCGTTCAATTCCATTCTCGAAAACAACAAAGTAATCGCCAGGGCCGAGGGGAAGGCCGATGCTGAGAGAGCCGCCGCCGAAGCCTCCAAGGCTGCCGCGGAGGAAGCTGAGGCCAAGAAGAAGGAGGCCGTCTCCCAGGCAGAGAAAGATGCCGTCGATGCCTTCGTCGCTGATGGATGGAAGGCGGAAGGCCGGAGGGCATGGGTGGAGTCGGTGGTGGAGGCCTCGGTGGACGCGTGGGCGAAGGGTCCTGGGGCTTTGTGGCTAGCCCAGAAG